GTATGGTACTCGAACCATAGCATCAATCCTCCACCTGCTCCGATGTATGGTACTCGAACCATAACATCACTCCTCAATACACTCATTAGAAACTTCAGAATACCCCCTGTATCAAGTATGGGTCCTCTTCTTTCAGTAGTACGGGCCCATACTACCTGCCACATCTACCATACTTTCCACACGGACTATCCTAGAGCTCTTAAGTAGCTGCTCGACCTTCTTGATCCCCAATTCCATCGCGTGCTAGCTCTCCAACGAAATTCTCTACTCTGTCAGCGCACTCATCTGGCTACAGATACTCCCTAGGCTCTTCCTAGATTCTCACACTTCTCTGCCATCAGCTGCTGAAGAGCTCCTAATGATGCCAGCCATCTACCTCCTAAATATCGTCATATTCGCTTGGTAGTTGACTCCCATCATCGAGAGTTCCACAAAGCACGAAGCAAGCAGCATTCGAGCATCGAAGGATATATATAACTCACTATGGGTGATAACTCTGCTTGCTCAGCTCATCCCCGGAAGTACCACCGAACTCTGCAACTCTTCCCCTCGCGGGTTTTAACTACTCCTTTGCTAAGTGCCACAGTACTTATCTAGGTATCTCCCTTAAATTACTCTTCTACTCGAATCCCCTCAAGGATTCCAACTAAATATTCTCACTCATCACATACTCAAAAGCACATCGCATAAAACAACAATCCCTAGGCTAAGGCATCACAAATCAGGCCACTCTAGTCCTAAGATATGGAATACCTAGCCTGTCCTTAGCATGCAATAATATATCATAAAGTGCATCATAAATATCTCATAACACCAAAGTAAGGGTATTTTGGGGATTCACCGTTCGGGCGTTGGCTGACCGTACACACCTTCCACTCTGCTTGGTTCCAAAACCTCTTTTTCTTTTTAGAACATTTTAGTTTTGTTTGAAAATTTCTCAAATCCTCGGTTTGAGTTCAAATACGCCCGAAGGTGCATCCGAATCCCTCAAACCAAGGCTCTGATACCAAATTGTAACACCGTAAATTTCAAAACAAAATTTTCAAATTTTTATAAAACATAATTCATTTAATATTCAGAAAACAACCATTTTCAATCGTTCAATCAAAGTAATACAAAATCCCAAGATCTCAAAATCATAAATCCCACGCGACTGATCAAGCCGGCGCCTTCCCGCGGTCGTCACTAGTACCTGAAACAATTAACATCAAACACTGTAAGCACAAAGCTTAGTGAGTTCCCCAAAATACCACATATAACACATATTAGCCACTCGAGGCTATAACTCTATGGGTCCGTGCACCCAACTCTGTGAACCCTCAGGTTCTAACTCTGTGAACCTTACGGTTCTAACTCTATAAACATGCACAACATAAATCACATAGAAATAATGCAGTACAACACATAACATACATAGCATACAAATACTCTGTCACATAACTCTGGTTACCTACTCAAGGTAAAGTATAGTGAGAAGACTCACCTCGCGTATCTCGGAATCACTAGCGCTCGATCTCCCGAGCTATCGTCCTCCTACAACACAAGCATATCTCTACTTAATACCACCTTGATCCTGGCTGACTAACACTACAAAGTCAAACTAGTCAACTCTGGACAACGGTCAAAGTCAACCCCTGACTGACTCTACTCGCCGAGTCAACCCGATGACTCGCCGAGTCCCCAAGCTCAGAACTTCCCTCAATCCGCGACCTGACTCGCCGAGTCACCCCGAGACTCGCCGAGTCCAACAACTCTGAGTCCACTCGCACCCAACTCACCGATTCTCGACTCAACCAGAAAATATTGGGACTCTTCGACAAGACTCGCCGAGTCCAAGAACAGACTCGCCGAGTCTAAGGCTATCTTCAACCTACTCGCCGAGTTGTTCATCCAACTCGTCGAGTTCCAGCTCATCTTCAAGCAACTCGTCGAGTCCACCCTTGTGACTCGCCGAGTACCACCGGTCTGAATCCATACAGAAGCGTTCCAGGCCATGCAATTGATCCAAAACATAGATCTAGCCTCCTACAACCCATCCATCACGTAAAGTGGCAAACTTTACGTGAATCCAAAGAGATCTAGGCCTTATACACTTTAGAGCTAGGGTTTGGGACATGATGGCTTCACTAAGCACTCAAACACAGGGACTTTAATGCACTCTAGACCTTCCCCATTCCAGATCTGAGGTAGCAACCTCAGATCTAACCTCCAAACTCCAAAACATACCAAGATAAGCTCCCATAAACCCCAAAATGATGAATCCATAGAGTAACAGCCCAAGAACAAGATATTACCTCAAAAGAACGCCCCAACTGCAATGAAACTCGAATCCAAGCAAAGCCCCTTGCTCCAAGCCTCCAAACTCCCAAGATTTCTTCAACAAATACCCTTCAAGCTCCCAAATGCACTTTGATCCACACACACACATGAATACTAAGGGTTTCTGGACTTGAGGATGAGTAAAGAGGCTAGGGGAATGGATGTTAAGTTCTTTATATAGGGCTTAACCCCGAGAATTAGGGTTTTCTCCACTCAGCACCTACTCGCCGAGTCCATCTTTGGACTCGCCGAGTAGGCCACTTGACACGCGAACAAAGTCGCGACCCTACTCGCCGAGTCCATCCATGGATTCGCTGAGTTGCCATTCAAGATTTACACTTTTAGCCCTTCAACTATACTCTTGATATTTCGGGGTGTTACATAGGGTTACAACAGGGTTCTTGATATTCAATTAGTTTTTGCATTCACTAGTGAAACCTTAGATCCATAGGGTGTATGCGAATTTAGGTTTTGTGTTTTTTCCGCCAGAAAACATTTTTTTTGTAAAACATTAAACCTTTCATTATATCCCCCGATAGGGATGGGGATTGGAATAAAGATTCAGGGATAAGGATAGGTATTGGGGTCACCGATATTCCTCAGCCCCGTTGCCATCTCTATTGAAAATAAAATACATACAAGTTTACAATTCTCAACGTGTCTAAATAACCTGACACTATTATTAAGTCATGTGTCCTAATCCACTCGTGACTCTAGAAATGCCAAGTCCACAACCTTTTGAAGCGCGACTACACTTCATAATCAAATAGCCAGTTCATTTATATCATGTACATACAATACACTTTTTTCAAATGAATTATTAAGAAATTAAACTTCAACATTACCTATTGCAGTACCGAGCACATACATGGGATGATTCATTATGTGTTTCAATCTACAAGTGTAAGATATTCAAATTGAATTCAACTTCTAATATTATATTAAAATGGAATTGGGTGATACGAAAATCACTAACAGTTATTTGCAAAAACCAAAACAACTTAACATCTTAGCAAAATGTAATAACACATATGTCAAACACACGGGTGTAAGTATTATCTTATTCTCGAACATTAATTGTAACATTAGTTGTTATGATTTTATTTTTATTTTTTGATTTTGATACTATTTTTTTAGTTAAAACACTAATTTTCTGATTATTTCAATCTTGACCATTGATCTATTATTTCGTTGTCGGCTGATATGACATATTGACGTATCACTATTTACCGACATCACATTTATGTGTCAAAATTAAAGAAAAAATGTAATGACTTCTGTGATATACAAAATGCATTGATTTTTATACAATTTGATATCATCATTGCACATAACAAATCATCAATGTTCACTTTAATATTAGACAATATACAAGTCGCCTATACTAAGGTCTTCCTATGTATAGCATGTTGATTGTGACGATACAACATCATAAAAAGGCAAATATAGTTTAATCTATTTAGGCTAATTTCAAAAGAAAAATAAAAAGATGTGAATAACAAACATATTAGAATTACCCAACAAATTCAATTTGGACTGATATGTCATACATTGTTACACTGATTGATAGGTTTATCCCAACAACCTTCATTATTGCCCTCTATTTACTTTTATATTAGACGAACATTCGTGCAACGTGCAATATATGATTATTTAGTTAAAATATAAACAAATATATGTTATTTAAAATAATCATACTTGCTATTACTATGAAATAATAATTTTATACTAAGTTGATATTATACATGGTAAGTATTTTGAACTAGATCGTAACATACACACCTGATAATAACCATATGATCTCAATCGTAAGATACATACTTGTCACAACCTCATTTAATTTGTCAAATGTTATTTTATGATTATTTTGAATTAATTTTTTTTTCCATATATCATTTTATAAGTTTTTTTATTTTTTAAATTGCACATAATATTTTAATATAATAATTGCAATAAATATAATAATAAATAGATATCAATATCATTACTGAGTTTACCTTTTAATTTTAAAATTCTTAAAATTAAAGCTCATTAGTTTATTTATTTATTTATTTAAATTTAAAAAATCAAAAACATTTTCATTATAATAATTCATTATTTTTATTTTTTTATAAATTCAAAGTTCTCAAATATTTAACTTTTTATATTTAATTTTTTAAAATTAACACATGTAATACATGAATCCCACGATTAATAACATATAAATAAAAATAATGATACATTAATCATTTGACATGTGATTAACCATTGTTAACTCGCAATGTTAGTTAAAAGGATTCATTTTATACATTTTATGGTTAGAAAATATCAACCATGTATAAAATTCCTTAGAAGAACTTACGGTAGTATTTTTTTTTTTTTACCAGCGATAAGGACGATTTATGTAATTTTATCTAATAAATAATAATAAATATCCCACATAAATCCTTAAAACTAAATCATCAAAACAAAGAGCGAGGACAAATTCAGTCCAAAACTAATATACCACTACATTCTCCTTCTCCACTTCTTTGCCTCTCTTTCTCTCTCTACAGACCTTCGTCGCACCAGTTGTATACCATAAGCCTCCTCTGCTTCTTCCATATCATCTTCTATACCTACCTAACAACGTTTTCCATTCTTCATACTTCCTCATCTTTTGAAGAAACCCTGTTATTTTCCTGTGACTTTTGGGTTGCAATTTTATACTTTGTGTTGCTTGTCGATAATTAGCGATTTTTTCTGCCTGTAAATTGGGGTTTGAATTGGAAATTCCAAGATATAATTACTTCCAATCTGGGCGTTTTCCTCTTGATGCTGGTATTTTAATCTGATCAAGTTCAATTTATTTTTTATGGACGATGATTGAAAAGTTTCTTTGTCACTGTTGTTGCGAACCCTTTTCTTTCTTTTTTTCTCACTCTCCTTTTGGGCGTGTGTAATTAGTGATCAGCTATGAGAGAACGAAAGTGGAGGCATTGATTGAGTTTGATGATGGAAGAAAAGGGTGGAGAGGCAGGAGATGATCAGGGCTCTGGATGGCTGAAAGTGAAAAAGGTGTCGTAATTTCCGGAAATAATCAATGTTCTACCTGGATATAAGTGCATTTTATTTCTTTTCTTCTTGATTAATTTTAAAATCTGATGATTTTGAGAACGGTTAGTGAAGGCTTACCAATCTTCAAATGGTGTGCTACTTGAAAGCTATGTTCTTTATGATTAACTTTAAATGCACTATGTGTATTGTTTTCCTCTGTTAACTTCCTTCTCATGGTTGTTACTTCATGATTTGTACTGTTAGCATATTTATGTTGATATGATGATGTATGAGGTTTTGAGGCTTTTCTTAGGCTTCTCTATTGCTTGATGACATAACTGTGGTGAAGATTGTAAAAGTTAACCTTGTCTTTTAGAAACATTTGTTTACATTTTATCAAACTAATAATCACCATAAAAATTGAGGCTTTAAACTAGGTAGCTACATGTTTTGGATTACAATTGCTCCTAGGTATTCTTAGAGTGAAGTTCCTTGTATCCTCCATCTTTTAATCTTGTGTTAATGAATACTTTCTCTTACCTCTTTCTAACGCCTACCACGTTGATGTAATGAATTGCCTTTATTCATTTTAGTACACAAGTTTGGAATTTTTATACGTAGAGGTTTACAATGAACCCAATCAAGTAAAACATTATGAGTATACAAAGATGTTCTTTCAATCTTTCTTTGTTATTGTTAACCCAATATGTTAGGTTTCATTCACGAGACTGAGTTAGAAAAATGATAGAAGAATGAATAAATTAGATAAGCGCCAAAATTCTAGAAACAGTTTCATGGAAGAAAGGAAAAAAAAGCTGTTTATCCTATTAATTTTACTAAGAAGAAAAGACCCTCTTCTATGAACCTGAGACCTTAGTTTTGGATTTTCACCTTACAGTCAATATGTGGGAACAAATTGAAGCATATTGTCCAGAGGAAAGAAAAGAAGTTGACTACATATAATATATTTGTGCAACTTAAGCTCTAGTGAGAAGAAAAGAAGAAATTATAGGGTTAAAACTAATGTTTGTTATTGCAACTTTAATCCTAGTACTTGCATAGTTGCATAGATCAATCAATTAAGATATCATGTCCTAGAAGTCCTATTTGTTTTGATACTCTTTCTTATATCGGGCATATATGTTATAAAGCCCCAAAGTAAATGCCTTAACTCTTTCTTTTCTTGCTTTTTTTCAGAAGCATAGAAGAAATTCAAAGTTTTCTTTCCAAGGATGGGTGGGAGGACTCTCAAGGAAACATAATTCAAATGTTATAGTCCACGAGCCTTGTAATGTACAACACATGACTTCAAATGTTAGCTCTATTGAATTGGATTTAAGTAACAAGGACTCCCCTGCACCTGATTCGGATGCTTCAAATAATACTCAAGTCCCTACTAAAGATGAGAGGGTGTGAACTACCTTGATAAGTGTGTAGTTAGCCATGCTGATGATCATAAAACCAGTCATGATCCAGAGCTTCCTCAAATTCCATAATCTTGATGTTTTTCCAAAGATTAAGTGGGGTAATTTGGATGATGGTGCTTTGGTATCAACTGTTTGTAACACTACTAGGATTGACATCAAATTTGGTGATATTGAGGTTACAGAAGACGATTCAGCATCAAGCTTGCCACTTTCTACTGAAACCATGAGGGAAATTGTCCCAACCATTGAATAAGACGCAAAATCTCGGGAATTTGAAGAGGTGAAGGAGGTATCCTCAGAAGAGGTCAAAGTCGTTAGTAAAAGTGATGATGTTTCTCAATAACTCGATACAGGTTTAAAGATTGAAAATCTTGAATCACAGGGATCAGAAACTCTTAAAAATTCAACCTTTTTGAAAGATACCGATACAACTACCGAGATACCTAAAGATTCTACCCCAATTGAAAATTCCAATAATAAAGAAACAACTTCAATTCTCAATGACTTATCAGAAGTTCATATTATGAGTGCAATTGGACCCGGTGAAATTGAAGCTGGGGAGAGTAAAGAACGGTTTTGCCAACGACTTTGGTGCTTTCTCTTTGAGAATCTTAACCGAGCAGTTGACGAACTGTATCTTCTATGTGAACTAGAATGTGATAAAGATCAAATGAAAGAAGCTGTTCTTGTTCTTGAAGAAGCAGCATCCGATTTCAAAGACCTGAATTCAAGAGTCCAAGAATTTGAAAAAGTCAAAAAGTCATCCGATAATCCACCAATCACGATGAAGTCCGAGCAACGAAGACCAAACGCGCTCTCATGGGAGGTTCGGCGTATGACAACCTCACCACACCGGGCCGAAATACTATCTTCATCACTCGAAGCTTTCAAGAAAATCCAACAAGAACGAGCCTCCATGAACAAAGATTTTACTAAAACCGGGTTTCTTGATTTGAATAAACGCTTCACAAGAACCGATAGAACAAGTAATGCTAAAGAACAAGTGAAACGAACCGGGGTTGCAATAAAAAAGAACACCGACCCGGGAAAGAACAAGAAAGAAACAACCGGATCTTCAGAACCCGAGAAACCGGGCCCACGTAAAGACAACGTTAAATCGACGGATTAACCGAATAAAAAACCAAATTTCATGTCTTCCAAATCAATGGATGCATGGAAGCAAAAAAGAATCTGGGAAGATATACTAACATCACCGTATGCATCGACCCGTTTTTCACATTCCTCGGGTATGGGTCGAAAAAGCACGGAGTGGGCCTGTATCCTACACGATAAATTAATGTCTCCCAACAAGAAGAAAAAAAACATCTCTCGATTTAAAAAAAGAAGCCGAAGAAAAACACGCGCGTGCAACCCGTATTAGAAATGAGCTTGAAAATGAGCGCTTACAAAAGCTTCAAAAAAGCACAAAAAAGTTAAACCGCGTGAACGAATGGCAAGCGGTCCGTAGCACGCGGCTCCGTGAGGGGATACACGGGGACAAGAGCACAAAAGTTAATGAAGTTCGGTTTATTACTTCATTAAATGAAGAAAACAAGAAACTAATGCTGTTACAAAAGTATCAAGATTCGGAGTCGAGAAGAGCGGAGAAGTTGAAAGATATGAAATCGAAGCAGAAAGAGGATATGGCGAGAGAAGAAGTGGTTTTGGAAAGGAAGAAGCTTGTGGAAGCTGAAAAGATGCAAAGGCTTGTAGAGACACAGAGGAAAAAGGAAGAAGCTTTGTTGAGAAGGGAAGAGGAAAGAAAGGCATCGAGTGCAGCACGTGAAGCGAAAGTGATGGATTAGATGAGGAGGCGAGGGGTTTTGGTGAAAGCCCAACAGGAAGAGGCTGAGCTTTTGGCTCAGAAGTTGGCTGAAAGGCTTAGGGAAAGTGAACAGAGGAGAAAGTTTTATTTGGAACAAATTAGGGAGAGAGCTTCCATGGATTTTAGGGATCAAACTTTGCCTTTGTTGAGACGGTTTTTGAATAAAGAGGAGGGCGGCGAAGGGGCGGTGGTTGCTGGCGGGAATGTGGCGGTGCAGCAGTTGTTGAAGAGGAGGATTAAGAAGCTTAGGCAGAGGTTAATGGCTTTGAAGTATGAGTTGTCGGAGGTGTTTATTGGTGGTGAAAGTAGGGTGGCGGTTGGAACTGCACGGGCGAAAATTGGGTGGTGGCTTCAAGAGCTTCAAAGACATCGGCAGGCGAGGAAAGAAGGGGCGGCGAGTATTGGCCTTGTAACTACTGATATAATTAAGGTACTTGTTTCTTTTAATATTCAGGATATGACATGACAGAGCAGGTTGTACTGTGTTTGAGTTTGACCTGCATTGGACTGGAACCGAGACTCACACTGTTATGTCCATTGGACAACAATTTCTTTTCTTTTTTTTTTTTGCTAAGATTATTTAATGATAATTTATGGATTAGTTTTTGGAGGGAAAGGAGCCTGAGCTGCATGCTTCTCGCCACTTGTTGATTTTATTGCTTCAGCTCTACCAGCATCAAACACATCCAAACCGGAAGCCAGCCAAGTAACAATATACTTCTTGAGACTCTTGAGGGTAATATTGTCATTACCCGCAAACCGAAGCTACTTTCTTGCAGAAAACCTTCTACCACCAATGATACCCATGTTAGCAGCTGCCCTTGAAAACTTCATCAAAATCACAGCATCATCGTCTTCAAACACCGCGGCTAGTAAAATCCTAATCGAAAATTCTGATGCAATAACGGAAGTTTTGGACTGTGGCGGTGGTAATCGGTCATTCCGGTTCCGATGATCGCCAGAATCAGATGCAAGATGGTTTGATAGAGCTTGTGATAGCGTATCAAGTTATTCATCGATTGAGGGATCTTTTTGCGCTTTATGATCGGCCACAAGTGGAAGGCTCTCGTTTCCCTTCATCGATTCTTTTAGGTATCAATTTGTTGGTGATATTGAGTTTCAGATTTGGGGTTGTGGGTTCCATCGATTGGGAATCGTATATGCCGGAGAATGAAACTCAAGAGACTAAAACTTCGGAATGGGAATCAAAGTTGCTGCAAGATGTGCCAGAGGATAGACCGTTGGATGATTTGTGTAAGAAGGAGGAGAAGAACACGGTGGTGGTGGTGGATGGTGAACAAAGGAATGGAATCAAAGGGGGACATAAACAGCTGTGGCATATCTTCTTTCTGCTATATCGGAAACAGGTTTAGTTTGTCTCCCATCTTTGTTGACAGCTGTGTTATTGCAGGCTAATAGCAGATTGTCATCTGAGCAGGTAGGTAACTTACCGATTTGTTTGAAAAAAACATTGGATTATTATTCTAATGTTATAATCATATGCAGGGTTCATATGTTCTTCCGAGTAATTTTGAGGAAGTAGCAACTGGGGTGTTGAAGGTTTTGAATAATTTAGCTTTGATTGATATCAACTTCATCCAGATGATGCTAGTAAGTAAAAAAAAAAAATAGTACACTTTTGTTTCTATGTATCATCTATCTTGATTTTTGGTATATGGGGTATGATTGTGTGTTTGTTTGATCTGAACACCAGGCAAGACCAGACCTATTCATCTGATGAGTTATCTTCTTTCTCATTGCACCACCAAGTGGGGAGCAGCTACAGATCAGGTGATGTTTTGTTTTGAAATTAAATCATATAATCCTGACTTGTTAAGACTTTACAGGAAAAAATTATTTGATCTATTAAGGCATATTCTTTCTGCATTAAGTTAAAAGAAACACAGAATATATAGCTTATCCGGTTAAGTCTTGTCCCCATTAAGTCAAAAAGAAATGTGAAGATTTGCATGATATGTTTCAGACTGGTTTGCTTCTGCTTGAATCTTTGTTGCTTCTTGGATACTTTGCCATGTTCCACCCCGAGAATCAAGCTGTTCTTTGGTGGGGAAAGAGCCCCACCATTCTTCACAAGGTCAGCTAAAAAATTTATATGCATGTATTCATAATGACAATTTTTTTTTTTTAAATAAATAAATAAGTCATGATTTGGTTGTTACACACACAAACACAGGTGTGCGATCTGCCATTTGTGTTCTTCAGTGACCCGGAATTGATGCCAGTGTTGGCTGGAACACTGGTAGCTGCATGCTTCGGGAGTGAGCAGAACAAAGGAGTTGTCCAGCAAGAACTTAGCATAGAGATGCTTCTCTCCTTGCTCAAATCCTGCAAAAATGCCTCCCAACTCAACCCTTTGTCCTCTACTACTGTTCCTAATGAGTCGGCCGAGTCAACTCAGTCGGGTCCCGAGACAAGAAAACTTCATGGTGACAATACCACCTCTCAAAGATCAAATCGGATGAATACAAGAAGCACACGACTCCAATCAGGAAAAACTGGTTCCACACTTGGAAACACCAATAATAATAATAGGAATCAGAAAGATAACAACAACAACTCAAGTAGTAATAATAATAGGGTTTGTGAGTCCAATTATTCAGAAAGTTGCTCCAATCTGATGCTCCATTCAAGATTCCCCACTACCTTCATTGACAGAGCAGAATTCTTCTTTTCAACAGAATCACCGCTTTAAATGTAAATGAAAATTTGAGAATTCTTGAAAGCAACTTTTTGAAATCAAACCAATTCCCAAATCTCTCTCCAATAACAGACTGGCTTCTAATTCTATTTTCATCTTTCTTGATTGTGCTTTCCAATTTCACATGGTGTGCATATAACAAATATATAAAAAACTCTATAATTTTTTTTTTTTTTTTTTTCCAAAGATAATTAAAATCCCAGTGAGGATACAGAATACAGGAATATGATTATACGTATTATAATTTGGATTCAGAGATCATTTCGAAAGCACCAACAAGCGCTTTGACTCGGCTCTTCCTGGTTTGAATAAGCTTACTAGCGGTCTCTTCAATCACATTATTTAAACCCGAATGTTGTTTATTCTTATTCTTTTCCACTTCTTGAGCTTTAAGAACCACATTCACTAACTTACTACTTCCCTGACGTTGTAACCCACCACCAGAAGGCATTCTCCTCAAACTTCCCCTCTTATCATCATCATCATCTTGATTTTGGTTTTGATTTTTTTCATCCAACGCTTGTTGCCTTAACTTATGCTTAGTTGGAGTGCTACACCCAGAAGACTGCGCATCAACAATCTTCCCTTGCTTAAGTTTGATCTTCTGAGGCAAATTATCTCCGTTTTCCTTCACCAACTTTCCAACCCGCCTCGGTGTTTCTGGTTTCTTTCCTCCTGAACCACCGTTGCTTTGAATTTGATCATGGCTTCTTAGGGTTTCATCTTTCTTTGAAGTTGAAGGGGTCTCCGATTCATTACCATCATCACTTCTTAGGGTTTCATCTTTCTGAGTTTCATTGGAATCATTTGCAATTACTTTCTCATCGGAAGTTGAAATACGAGTTTCATCGCTCTTTTCTTCAACAGGTTTTGCGGGCTTTGACTTTCTTGAACCATGGTCAACCAATGGCTTTTGGGGTTTTGAAGTCTGCACCTTTTTAGAAAAGTTGCCATTTTCCAATGTTTTCACAGAGTTTGCTTTTGAATTTGAATTTGGATCTTTTTTTGGTTCGATCTTTTTACTGCTACTCCTAGATCTGGTCAAACCTGGAGCTGGTGGTTGATCAAGAACATCACCCAAACCACCGGTGGGTAGGAGGATCTCACTGTAACGCCTTCTATGGGTTGTTGAAGGTGGGATATAAAACGGATCGGTTGACTTTATCTTGGACTTTGACTTCAAGAAATTTTGTTTTTTGGGTTCCATGGGGAGAGGTTTGAGAAGGGAAGCGCTGTTGGTCTTGACATCTTTAGTGGAATGTTTGGGGATTAATTGTGTAAAGATTCTCTTGGAAATTGGAGGAGTTTTGTTTGATTTTTCGGGTTTGCAGTTGTCGTGGCAGGAGGACACTGGATCTTTGAGATATCGACTTGAAACGTCTGTGTATTCAAAGGCTAAGTTCCCTGTTGAGTGTCTTCTTGAGTGCTTGTCAGGCACGATTTTTTCCATGCCAATGTGAAGCAGTGTCTTCAACACCAACATAAAATCTGTTCATTCACAATCAATAACATTTTTTATATTCATAATTGAAATGTTTTTGACAAATATTATAAATAAATGTGATATCGCTTAAGATTTGATTCCAAGGTTAAATCTTGATTCTTACAAAAAATCGTATCGTAAATAACCACGCTACAAATTGATGCATGCTAGATTACAGAAAACAAACGAATCCAATTTAAGGTTTTGGCTAGATTTTATGGGCCCTTTTTTTTCAGAAAAAGAAAAAGAACGTATTAATAAAATCTTGAAAAACATACATACCTTTTATGGAAAATAACGATGAAGATCTAAACCCAAGAACTTGAGAGGAAGAAGGTTTCTACTTTAGGTTTGAAAGGAAGAAAATTTTCTTTGTTGCGTTGCATTTGCATGAGAGACACCCAAACATCTCTTTCTATTTTTAGAAGAAACCTCCCAACATATTCCAAATTCCCATTTTATGTTTGCCTTTTTATTTGGTTTATATTAAACTGAATTTACAGGCATGGAATAAAACGAAACCAAAACATATAAACCACCATTAAATTATATTCACAAGAAAATGTCCTTTTTTACATACAGGAAATCGAAAAGACAGTTGACATGGACAAACACGAGAAACAATACACACACTTAATTGACAATTTCTGAAACAAGCCAATCAAGACCAGGGTACGCGAAATACAAAACAAGAAAAGATGGAACAGCAAACAGAATAGTGACAAGAATATACAAAAGCAATATTGCTATACTTGCAGGAATTGCATAAACAACAATAACCAAAAACATAAAAATCAACGGAAACTTAGCCGTTAAATTAACAAAAAACATCAACGACTTACGAAGCGACAAATGGATCCTTTCCGGTGCACCGGACCCATGAACCCGTGGGCCGACAGACCCGGTTTGACAAACAGGGTGATGATGATGATTGTCCAAATAAGAGGAATGAGACTTGATGACTCGATCACCATTTAAGCTCTCAACCATCCAAACAAGAAAGTAATTCTTGCGAGGAAACTTGAGGGTTCCTTTGTAAAGGATCCGAAATGATAAATTATTGCACCAGGGGCAAGAAATGAAAAATGGGAGGTGAAGTGGGAAACTTGGGAGGAGTTTTATAACAGACGATTGTAACCCTAGGACACAGTTTTTACACAGGGTGTGGCCACATAATAAAACGTAGGGCACATTTTCTACTATATTGAAGGATTCACAGCAAATTGGGCATTCTAGACCTTCACCTTCTTCTTGGATGTTGTTATCTATGGAGATCTCATCATCTGATTCTGAGCAATCTGAACAAGGTGCTTCATTAGGTCTTAGAGATTTGTTACTAGCAATGGCTTTTGAACCAAAACTCCACATTTTTTCTCTGGAATTCTTATTTCATACCTGCAAAATCTAGATTTTTTCAAGAAATGAATCAATCACTTCCAATAAAGTAGCCTCACAGAAGTAACAAAATCAATATCAATATTATATTATAAAGCATGATTTTAACAGCATCATAAACAAGATAAAGCTATTGAGCACAATGCTTCGTCAAAGATTCTGAATATAGCCTATGGGGTTTGATTGCATAATTCATTCAAGTAAGTTGAAAGCCTTATTCACAAATTTAGAAGGGAAAGCCTGATTTAAGATAGAGTATGGAAAGTTTCTTCAGGTAGTTTGCCCTTTGCTAATTGCTTTAAGTTCTGATAAGAAAACGATTGACAATCAACGATACGTTTAAAACTGTATCAAAGAGCCATATATAAGATTGTACCCACACCTCTTTCAGGTAAGCTTAAAGTGTGATCTATAAGTTTTAAAGCTCCTTCAAAATGACAAGAAAACGGTAAGTAATCGAACTACCAGCAGCGCTCAAAAAATCATGAAACCCTACAGAGCATTCATAAAAGTTCCGGCACTCGACTTCACAGATACCAATTTAACTTCGAAGAATCCGATGAGGCGATGATCCTAGATAAAAACCTAATTAATTCTTATAAAATACGAAGATAGAAAACACCGATTTTATGCGATAACACTGAAGAAGTACGGAAGCTAATTATATCAAAGCTTACCTGATGATTATAATATGACGAACATCGAAGGTAACGCCGGAATCAGAGATCCGATTCACGAACAAAGAATCTGTCTCTGTCTCTTGAAGGTCGATTCTCTCTCTAGAAAACGATAGATGGCAAAAAAATCTAAGGAATGAAGATGATTAGACGAAATGAAAGTAATCTACTCTGTTTGGGCTTACAAATTGTTCGGGTTGAGCCCAATTGCTTAGCCCGATTATTGTTTATATATATATATATATATATATATGGTTAGGTTCAAATAAAAATACTATTTAATGTTAGAACACTATTTTATGTTAGTATCCTACTATGTAATTTGTGAATATTACATATGTTCACATGTGGATATAATATGTTATTTAGATATGAATTACAAACTTGCTTAGAACCTCAAAATGACGTATTACATGTATTCATTTGTGAATATTACCTATATTTATTTGTGAATATTACATGTATTCGCATGTGAATATATTTTTTTATATATTATTCACATATGAATTACATACTTGCTTTGTGTTTTTTAAAAGATATGCATTGATTCTCGTGTAAAAGCATATTCACTTGTGAAGATTACGTGATATATTTAGTTTATTCATTTCATCGAATAGTTGGCGTGCAAATAAATTAATTTATATAACTATGGTAAAAAATTCACAATTGAAGCCAATAATTACAAAACAAATCATATCCTATCAACATCGATTAACAATCAATAGGTTTATATCAAAAATTGTTAAAAAAAAATGTACGAAAAATGAAGTTTTTCAAACTTGAAAAACGATCTTAAAAAAATTCTTCAAATATATGGTTATGTTGATGAACTTTTGATTTATATATGTTGTTTGATATTGGTGAAGGTTCCTTTGATGAAGTTTCGATGATCGGTGATCGCTAAATGATGTGACATCGATAAATATGAATTATTTTTAATGATTTTGCTTGATGTCAACGAAACTTGACAATATTGAATCACGATTTACACCTAATAGTACGAATAAATATTTTTAGTGACGAATCACAACATTTTGATGAATAAACGAAGATTTTGATGAAGAGTTGATGTTTTTATAAGTGTCGATGTCTTTTTTTATGAAGAACGGGTGACTTTGATAGCGAATAAGTAGTAGAACGTATGATATCGATGAAAAACACAGAGGAACAATCGAGATGAATGAATAATAGATGGTATCTGTGATTGAAGGTTAATATATCATATTTACAAATTTGCTACCGTGTATTTTATGCTAAAATGCTCATTAAATGATTGACTGAAAATGATTCCTCCATTCTCAACCTTTTTTTATTTTCTCAATTAAACTTACTTCTCTCTCTCTCTCTCTCTATATATATATATATATATATATATATATATATATATATATATATATATATATATATATATATATTGGAAAAGTGAATATGTGGTTGTCATGTATGTAATATTAGGTACAGAACCATCAAAATTGACATCATTTTGATTAAATAAACACAATTTGTTTCATTATTAGCTTTTTTCTGTTGCTTTTGAGTTCATATTATTTCTGATTTCATAATCTATCCTCAATATCTATGTATTTCGAATGTGTTTTTATATTATACCTCTAGTAGGCTTTTCATAACTTTCTTTTACACCAACCATATGTATACTTGCATGGTTGTTTTTGATGTGTTATGGGAAAAAACTATTGGATTTTTAATGAATAATTTCAATCTTTTACTATAGTTTTCTATTTTAAATTTGAAAATGAAGATTTATAGGTAGTTGATAATGTGTTTTTATACATGGGTTGTGTTGCAAATTTTAAAATTTAAAACTCCATAAAAGTATGTACAAACCCTATTATCTAGTCTAATAGAGAATATAAGAAAGATGGTATCATGTTAGAAAGATTTGATTGTATTTTGTTAAAACTATATAGTTTTTAATGGTTCTATATCTAATATTAACTACATAAGAAACCACATATTTCCTAAGTCCATATATATATATATATATATATATATATATATATATATATATATATATATATATATATATATATATATATATATATATGTGAAAGGGTTATATGGAAAACAAAAAAACCCTAGAAATCATAAAAATACATAAAAAATACTTCGAGATCACAATTTTTTTTTGACTTTATATTCTTAAAAATCGCTGCTTTTTATATAAACTCACAGAAAAAAAAATCGATTATTTATTTATTTTTTTGGTTTTTTTTTCAAAAAAAATTCAACGAATTTATATAAAAAGGTGCGGTTTTAAAGAATATAAAGTCAAAAATTATTTGTGATCTCTAAGTATTTTTTATGCATTTTAATGATTTTTAGGGTTTTTTGTTTTCCATATAACCTAAACCTATATATATATATATATATATATATATATATATATATATATATATATATATATATATATATATATATATATATATATATATATATATATATATATATATATATATATATATACTAGCCGTAAACCCGCGCAAAGCGGCGGCGAAAATTAGTTTCTCATTCGGCAATAAGTTCTATACGGAAACATGTTCCATTTCAAGTAACACAAAATATATGCATATTGTTATCGATTGGTTTTACGGCAACAAATAAATGTAACCCTCGCAATACAAAAGAAAATAAATATTTTGGTGTGTAGTGTACGTTTAAAGTCTTTCATTTTAGAAATCAGGACACATCCACACGAAGTGAATTGCTTATACCTTTATTGGTATTGATAAAGTTAATAAAAGGGAGAATCAAAGTTAATCTTAACAACCCGGTTTGCTTGATACAGATAAGTCTAAACGGATATATCCTATTATCCACTTTACTATCTAAAGTTTTAAACCGAAAAATAATAAAATTAATACAACCATATTTCATGGAACATGAATAACAAATGGAATACTAATTTTCTATTAGTCATAAATCATACATAGATATTTTTTCTTAATATTAAACAAAATATTTGATTTTACAACTGATTGGTCAATTTTGATTAGAGGGCATAAATAATAAATAAAACTTTAAAAAATTATAAATAAAAGGGCATATATAATGGATTATTTGTTTTATTTTAATTGGATAAGAGATTTAGTCAAATTTTTGGAAGATATAAGATTTCAAAGGTAATCAGATTAAAATTTAATATTATTTTATTCATGATTAATTGTACTTTACGCTTAGAGAGTTGAACGTCTTAAAAAATAATATTATTTTATTGGATCTATTTATAGAAATAGTAGGATTTCTTTTATAAGTTAGTATATATATATATATATATATATATATATATATATATATATATATATATATATATATATATATATATATATATAGGGCTTACGGAATATGTGGTTATGTACCTAACATTAGATATGGAACCATAAAAAACTACATAGTTTTAACAAAATACAATCAAATCTCTCTACCATGATACCATCTTTCTTGTATTCTCTATTAGACTAGATGATAAAAACTTGATGTATGTGAAATGCACTAGTTTTAGTCCTACTTTTAAAATATATTTTAGACACACAAAGGCAGTGGACTTGTCAATTGGTGGTATAATTAAATAAGCAGGGTATCGAACACAGGGAACGACAATTAAACTAATTACTAGAATTATCTAAAACAAGTAATAAAAAGAAAAGGTTTTCTCTAGTTTTGCAAGACTAGAAACTTAAACAATTAAATAAAACTCAAACTAAGCAACTAACAGCTAAAGCAAATAAACAATCAACTAAAGTCAGTAATGGAGAAGACTTCTGTTTAGGTTCAATTCATTTACTCACATGGTTGATTTCATGGCAAGTGCAATGGATTAATTGTAATTGGCTACTGATTAAAGTGATTAGGTTCACGTTCGCTAATACTAATCCTTAGAAAACAAATCAATTCAAATAGTGGCCAATTGGTTAAACTAATTAATTTCCTAGTTTATTGATTCATATTAAGCAAGAGTTGTAGGTAGTTAATCAAATTACTAATTCAATTAACCTCTTGTTGATGGTTCGTCATAAAAGCTCACACATTAACTTACCTATTCTCTAGTTAACCCTAGTTTCATGTTCGCTATTCCTAGGAATATAACAATGTTTTCACATAAATCATATGAGATAAGCATTTAAGAGATGTCCATGCAACTTAATTTACTTGATAACTAACATAAGATAGTTGTTGTTAACACATAAGGTTCTTTAACAACCTTAACAAAACTAAACTCACCAATTTGAAATTAATCCAACCATAAATCAAACCATAGTCATAAATTCATTTACCCTAAACAGAAGATATGAGTTCTAGCTCATGATTACAATACGAAGTAACTCAAAAACGAAATGTAAAGGTTCACACATAGGTCAAACAAGAGATTAAGTAAATAGTAAACTAAAATTGCCTTTTATCTTCTCAAGATTGAAAGTTAGGGCTGCTCCACGAATTCCAGAGCTCCAGCTATACCTTCAGTCGCAAATTAATCCCCAAGGGTTCCAGAGAAGGGTTTAGTTTCGGGCTTATGTGTTCTATTTATAGATTTAAGTTGATAGAGGCTACTTCTCGAGTCCCTCATTAAAAACCCATGTACAACAATGTATTATGTATAGACATGGTTTTTGACTATTTTTCTTCTTTCTTCAATTCTTGAGCTCCCGATTGCATTTTTCGCTTCCTTTTGCTTTCGAGCACATCTTTTAGACTGAAAATATAATTTAAACATAATTAAGTACCTTTTGTCCATAAATTGCGATAAATTAGCCAAAAAGTAATAAAATTCTATACGAAATATATAGCTAAATATGCACATATCAATAGTCTTTGTACATACTTTTATGGAGTTTTAAATTAAAATTTTTGCAACACAATCCATGTATAAGAATACACAGACCAAAGGTTTTTAAGACTAAAGTCGTAAAAATAAGGAGCTTGATTTTGATCCATTAGATTTATTTTAATGGTTGTGATTAAAAGTTGATGGTAATCCTTGTGAAATAAAATTGACCAATCAACAACATTTATTTGACACAATATATAGCACTTTTTAAAACCCTAATTATTCATATGCCGAACTTTCTCTTGTAAAATTAGATCCCACCAACTCTCCAACTCAGCTAACACCTTCCTAAAACCCACTCACCCTCCACAAAAAAAAAAAAAAAAAAGACGGTCACTCCTTTCCGCCTCCTCAACCATCGCACTAAAGCATAAAACCCAAATTCCACATCCTTAGCCAATTCTCTCTCTAGAATACTTTTACATATTCTTTATACACACAAAGAGTTTCCCCCATTGCTGCCACCATCTTCAGCTAGCATCGTTGGTCGGTGGAACACCTGCGAGATACCCCAACACACCACATGCGAACCACCTTAACCACGACCCACCTTGCCGACAACATAGTTGTTTAACACCACCACCTCTTACCGGCATCATGAAACCTTAGATCTATACCGTTGTCACCATCATGGCCGGGCACATCCGCCACAATCGATACTGCTATGAACACCACCGATTCTCGATGGCACCTGTCACACCCCCCGAACCGGAATGGCGAA